CCAGTATTTGGGGGGACAGAGGCAGGCAGATTTTTGTGAGACCAAAGCCAGTATGGCCTCCATAGTGCATTCTATCTAAGCGGGGGCTACAGGGAGACCCAACTTCAAAAAGAAAAAAAAAAAAAAAAAAAAAGACTAGCACTGTGTAAACATTAGATCACAAATTAGTCTAAGTATTAAATTAAACTGCGAAACAATATACTTATTGTTTCAAACAGCAACATGTTTAGGTAGATCTTGACTCTAGTGATAGAAAATTGTAGTTGCTTTGTTCAGATTTGGTCTCTAATGTGTGTAGTGTGTGCGCATGTGTGTGTGTGTGTGTGTGTGAGAGAGAGAGAGAGAGAGAGAGAGAGAGAGAGAGAGAAAGAGAGAGAGAATTTTGTGATTCACTCTCTTACTGTTAATCATTGTGTGTGTGTGTGTGTGTGTGTGTGTGTGTGAGAGAGAGAGAGAGAGATAAAGAGAGAGAGAATTTTGTGATTCACTCTCTTACTGTTAATCGTGGACTAATAAGTACAAGCATCATTATTACTGATTATTATCCTGAAATTCCAGCAAGGAACTTAGTATCTTATAGATACTCAATAAATAATTATTGAAAAGTTAAACAAGGAGAAGAATTTAAATAGAAATTTCAAAACTCAGATCCCTTTAACAAGATTTGCTTCAATCTTGGCTGCTGCTGTGATAAATAGAAGGAAGGAAAAGATAAGAGGAGGAGGCAAAATCTGAACTCACCACTGAAGTCATTACCCTGATTATCATTTTATAGATAATGAAATGGAGGCTTAAGGAAGTGAGATAATTTTTTCTAAGCCACAGAAGTTACAAATAGCAGTTCCAAGACTGTACCCAATGTCTAAGACTAAGCTGCTGGTTAATGTTTCTGTAAGCACAGATGCTCCCATGGCCTGAACCCTATGAGTCCTTTCCCTTCAGTCAAGAGATCACTCTTTTGTTCCCCAGCTTCCCTCAATGGTTCTCTCCTGTAGATTCTGCCCAGCCTTAGCCCACAGAGCCAATTCTGGTGCTCCAAGTCTCCACTCAGTCTGTCCCAGAGTTGCTTTCCTGAGACATTTGCCCCATGACTAACCACGGGCATCTTTGACAAGTTCTCTCTTTCCTTGGCTCCCCACTGCCATTGAACATTCCCCTCCTGGTCTTCCACCTTCATGGTGCACTATTTCCAAGATGTATTCACTCATTCATTTACCTCCTCTGTACCATGAATATTATTGTTCCTCCGGTTTCTGATATTGGACCTGTCTATTTATTATAAATGCTCTACTGAACATCATATCAAAGCCTTAGATTTCATTCACAACTTAGATGCTGATGACTTTAATATGGTTCTCCTACAGCACTAGATATAAATATTTAAGTGAATAATGCAGACATTATTGGGTTTGCAGTTACTGACCTGCATACCTTTCTATATTTTACACTATTTCCAAGTATAAGGAAGATACATAAAATATGCAAATTGTATCTTATAGAAATATAAAAATTAAGAGCTGGGATACAGCTCGGTGGTAGAACATGTGCAGGGACTTGAGTTCTGTCCCCAGCCCTACAAAAATTGAATAGTTTAAAAATGTATTAAAATTTCCAATTTTATAATGAACTTTATGTATCTTCTATACTGCCTACTCTTCTTGTAGGGCTGATGTACGATTTAAAAATAGAACAGTTTAGCTTCTGTAGACCTGAAGGATTATTTTATAAAACCATGTGTACAAAGGATGCCTGCCATTGCACCATGTCATCTAACGAGTTTCATCCAAGCAATACAGGCAAATGTGTGTTTATAGAACAACTCGAAATCATAATTTTGGCTTATTTTGCAATCATATATTATTTATGAAGAATATATGAGGTTCTGGAAAATACATATAGACTTGAGAATTTATGAACAGAATTAACATGTATATGGCTAACCACACATACGAGCGCATGCACATATATTAAGTTCTGTAATCTTCAGAAGAGTCCCAGGAAGTAGTGCATTGTGTGTTTTCAGTTTATTTCTTATTTAAGAAAAAAAAAGTTTGGATAAGTTCAATCACCTTCCCAAATTCATGCAATTTATAAATACGGGAGCTAATAAAAATATCCTTTCTGGATATAAACTTATATCCTTTTATTTTTTTTTTTGAATATGTTTTGCTAAGAAAGTAGTGGAATTTTTTAAGGAACATATAAGTACACTTCAATCAAGGGAAATGTTCATCTTAAATTAGACAGTCCTCTTCTTTCACTAAGTAAACTTATTTTGATGTACACATTAAAATCTATTAAAATTTTTTAATTTTGTTTTACTTTTTAAGAGTTTCATACATCAGTCCTCTATTTACATCATTTACACCCTTCACTCTCTTCCTCAACTCTCCTGTGTCCCCCAACTCTCAAGTTTATGACCTCTTCTTCTTTAAGTTTTATATATATACAGATATGTAGCATATATTATATATATTTATAACCTACTGAGATCATTTAGTGTTGCTTATATGTAACTGCATTTAAGCCATTGATTGCCTGTAGTTCTTCATCTAGTATTGGGATCTTGTAAAAATCTCTACATCCATATTGGCATGTCTACTAATGTTGCTATTACACAAGACTTGTTTAGGCAACCATATTGTTGAGATTTCATGAGTATAGATTCCCTGTATGACTAGAATACACTACCTAGTGGCAGGCATCTTGCTTCTCTGGCTCTGAAAATAATGCTTCCCCCTTCCATGATGTGCCCTGAGCCTCAATTTTAGGGGTTGCAGTTTAAATAAATCAATTGGAGATGAGTAAGTACTACATGGTCACTATTTTCTACATTTTGACCAGTTGCAGGTCTCTGTAATAGCCTTTATCTGTTGCTAAAAGAAGCTTATTTAATGAGGGGTGACAGATAAACTGAATTGTGGCAGTAAAGGTAAGTATTTAGAATATAGTTTGAAATTATATTGGTTTAAGAAAATGACAGTCATAGGTTCCTCACTATAGTCTATGACATTTCCATTTATGGGTAGTTGTCTGGATTTATAGTACCAGATATTAAGTTCCTCCCATTGAGTGGGCCTTAAGTCCAATTACACAGCTTTTGGTTACTCCAAAGATAAAAGTGACATTACTACACCATTGAAGATATGTTGCCAAGTAGAACATTGTTGCAGTTCATAGGCTTTACCTCTAGATAGGACTTTTAATTGTTTTTCTGCCTCTGCAGCTTGCATATTACCTTTAGATACAATGTAAGCTAGTCCTTGGAGAGGAGACTTCCAAGTCGATCACAACTCTATTCCTCCAAGTCCTGTGACGGAAATGCATCACATCTTCAGAAATAAAGATATCTTCAAGTTCTGAGGGCCAACCAAGGGCCAGAGAATAGCCTATATTATTTTGGGAGTTTCTTGGATGGAGTTCCCTGACCAACAACTTAAAAAGGGTTTCCCATTCCTGGTACTGGGGTCCTTGTTAAATAGGATATGTCTCTCTCTATTTATGCATCATACCCCAGAACTTCTTACTCCTGCCTGACTGCAGCTGAAGCTGACTAATCAATCTCTCCCCATCACTGCTCCTTTCATTCTTCCCAGACTCTGGTGACCACTATTCTAATCTTAATTTAAAAGTGATAACTACTTTATTTTCCAGATATGAGCTCACACAGTAACTTTATTTCTGTGCCTGATTTGGATCACTCAACCTACAGTTCCATCCACCTTTTTTTTTTTGAGGGGGGCTCTTTTTGAGACAGGGTCTCCCTATAGTCCCAGCTGTCCTGGAACTCACATATAGACCAAGCTGGCCTTGAACTCACAGAGATCCACTTGCTTATGCCTCCCGAGTGCTGGGATTAAAGGCATGCGCCACCAGGCCCGACTCCATCCACATTTTAAATGATATCACTTTTGTGTTTAAAATTCATTTTAAAAGTCTTTCTCTGATGTGGACAAATTTGGCAATTTTTTCTATCCCCTCCCCATTGTTAATCATCTTCAATTGATGGAGCCAGAGCCCAGGTTCACTGATCTGAAGTATTTAGCCCTTTGGAGCATTTATCATATTGGCATGAGAATACAGAATAATATGAGGTTCAACTGTCATTCCCCAACTATACACTGAGCTTACCAAGTAGTAAGAAGGAAGGATTACAATTGTACCTTTTTTTCTAAAAATAATTCAAAACTTGTGAATCTTAGGAATGAAAACCCTCTAAGTTCTACTTAACAATTTATGTGTTCAGTTTTAAACATTGATTTTTCTTTTTGGAGAGGAACTGAAATTCTCTATTTGGAGTTGAGAAGACATCATAGTTAAACTTACGTCTTAAGACTCTAGTCCATATCATTTAGAATGTTCAAATTTATGCTCTTTTTATAAGTTCTTTAAGGATTACAGAAACAGTTTGTGTTGGATGTGCTTCTTTTTCTTTTAAACATCATAAATGCAGAATGCATCTGAGGCATGTAAAACTCCTTTCAGGAAGAAATTTCATTTGGAATGAAAATTAATATTATAACTTTATATCTGTGTATTGCATTTCATAAAATAAGCCATAACTAAGCATTTCTAGACTTTGTGATCAATTGCTTTGCTCATAAATCACAAAGGTATTTACTTCAGATGATCTGTGTCATGTTTTAATTCCCTGGATTTAAAATTTTGATACTCGACAATCTATGTCTCTGAAAGAACTACTTTTCCTTGAACACATTTTTTGGTTATGTGTATCATTATCTGGTTATCATACTTTTAATATGCTTCAAACCTCATTGCATGAAGTAAGCATCTGAACTATTTATTATTCTGATGGAAGGTACTGTTCAGGATCAGAACGGATTTTAACTTGTTAAGATAAAAACAGTAGTACCCTGCCTATGTTATGCAGTACTACCAAATCATAAAGTGCTAATCTCACTCTGTTTTGGACTCCAGAATTTATCATAAAAGTGCTCTATAACATCTATATAATTTTTCTTCTTTTTGTCCCTTTGTAGCTGTTTGAAATTACAGTGCCTCTTTCTCAAGGCCCCAAACCAGTCACAATCAGTTTTGCCAATCACACCTCCTGCCGATGCATGTCTAAACTGGATGTTTACAGACAAGTTCATTCAATTATTAGACGTTCCCTGCCAGCAACACTACCACAGTGAGTATGGATTACATCTATTTTTTCTATATCTTCTGCTAATATGAAATTATCTTCAAGTAAACACAAATTTACCAAAGGAATTTTTTGTGGAGATTATTACATTGTTTTTCCAAATATAAAACCACATAACAATTATATTATTAAAATAAAATTGTACTGATACACCCATTCTAGACAGTACAGTTCACAACATAAAAGTAGGTTCAATGGAATAATGCATATCCCATTACTGTTTACACTATTAATGAGGTAACAGAACTTATTTAACATTTATTATATCATGTGCATTCACTAACAGATGATACTACAGTTTGAAACATTTAAGACTCAATGAATAACTTCTAAAACAAAATTAAGTAATTATGTATTACCATAATTATACAATATAGTTGAAATATCTTATTTGTTATTTTAGCAAAGTTTGATTATTGAAACGCTGCTTATTTAAATTTTCTCTTCATATTACTTTGAATTAATATTCAACTCTCATTTACAATTTGAATTGCCTCCATCATATTTTTAATTTGGCAAAGAGCAGGATTTGGTCAAAGGAAAAGGATATAGCATCAATCCTGACCTTTAAATACTGTATATTGGATTAATATTTGTTGTTATTTGGTACCTAGAAACTTTCAATCCCCAGTGATTCAGAGACGTAGATCTGTGTTATCATTTCCAGTATACAATGAAAGTACCTAAGAATGAACTGAACATAATATACCAGCATTCATTACAGCAGTATAAGTAGATGGAAAAACATATATAGTATTCAAAAATTGAGAAACCTTACATCTTAGGAGACTCAAGGGTACTGTGTGGTGATTTTCCACATGGTGTCTCCTCATAGTGCCTTACTTACTTTGCCAGTGGTCCAATCCAGGGACAATTTAGGCAAAACTTAATAATAACCTAATATGATCGACACAGAGAGTCCTCCTTGGCATGAAGAAGAAACTATCTCATAGATATCTTTGAATAAATTTATGGAAATACAAGCAGGAAAAACAATCATTTTAACTAAAGATGACCTGTGTGCAATTTCATTCATGCATCCCCCAGAGTTCTGTAGCTTCCCGAATCTTGCTTCCTTCGGCAAAGCATCCATCCTGACAATTTCAGCTGTTATCTTTGTGCTTCTGTTCCCCAAATTTCATTTGAAGACTTGACCATATCTTGGCCCCTGACATTTTTTTACACTTATTCCCAAGTAATTATATTAACTTTAACTTATATCTAAAGATGTATTATTTGTACTATTTGTAGCAGTATTTACTCATATGCTTTGAAGTTATAAAATTTCAGTTATCATTCATTGTTTCTTCTTTTGTACCAACCAAGTGTGTTTGGCTGCTTTAGGGGGAGAGGGAGATGTGTGTTCCAGCTTGGAATTAGTTTTCGTCACTTCCATTCATCCACCTGATTCTGTGTGCAACAGTGTCAAGCCAGATTCCTACTATCAAATCCTTTCTCTACTCTTGTGAAATGTCGTGAGCAACTTTTAAATGACATTATTTCATTTGTCTAACTAGAAATAATGACTGCCAACTGCTCAAACACTTGTACACAATTTCTCATTTATCCTTTATCTTGCTAATGTTTCTTATTTTGGCCTCTATTCTTCACCATGTCTGTGTTTCACAAAATTCAATTCCATGAACTCCAAGTTCATTTACTGCTCTGTATTTGTTTCTGTTTTCCTTTCTGCCTTCCAAAAGCCATATCCATTTCTCAGAGTTCAGGTAAAGTTTTTCTCCTGTATTTGTCTCATCAAAATACCACAGCCTTCTTTCTTTCTCCGTTAAGATACTGGCGTTGCTTCTTATCCAGCGGCATGGCGTTTTTAGACATGTAATCATATTGTTATATATACACCTAGTTTGTTAATTTCATGGCTGTGAATATTCCACTAAATATAACTATTTTTTTTTTGCTATGGCCATATACTATGGGGAAGTCACTGTACTGCAGAGTTGAAACCTAAAAGGAACAGCCAAAGAGATGAAAAAGGGAGGGAGAGAGAAATTTTCTCGAAAAGATACAAGTATCTTTAATTTAATGGTGGTAAAATTATTGGTTGGTTAATTGGTTAATGCCTGAAATGTCCATTAAGATATAAGGAAGTACCACACTCTAAATGCAGTTAATAGACTGGAATAATTTAATTAGATTTGAATCTATGAAACCAATAGGGTTTTAAGTAGTGAAGAGACTAGGACTGTGATTTTGAAATGTTGAGCACCAGCCTAGGGAGTTTCAAATTTTTATAAAAGTATTGGAGTAGAGTAGGAGGTTTTGTGGACAGAGAAATGGAAAGGCTTAGCTTCAGCATAGTCAAAGCTTCTTGAATTGTTTTTAATGAATCATATCAATTATTATTTCAAGCTTATAATTATTTCAAATAAGATCATTATTATTTAAACTGATTAAGACACTAACAGACTTTGCATGAGAGTCAAGTTGTTGCAACGATGAAAAGAAGCAGTAAAGAAATAGAGAAATCTAGCTCAAGAGATAATTCAAGTTTTTGTTTGTTTACTGTTTTTAGATAAATTGTTGTATTTGGTAATAATAATTTACACTGTTGTGGTTTAAAAGGTGTCATTTCTGTGAGGACTCAGGTCTTTTCTGAGAGAGAGCAGATACCTTCCCCAGGAAATTTTTCATTTGGAACTTAACAGCCCATGCCACTCTGACTGCTGCTGTCCTTGAACAGGTGGTCCTCGGCTGTATAAGAAAGATGCTTTATTGTGAGTTTGTGAGAAGCCATCAAGCATCATTTCTCCATGGTTTCTGTTGTATTTTCTAGATTGTAAGTAAGTCCTTGTGTTAGAGGTAATGCTGTGTGAAATAGTAAACAGGCCTGCCACCAAGTCCCTGCTTGGACTTCGACCCTAACACCCCTCAATGATAGACTGGAACTTGGAATTATGCCTCTTACTCTCATAAAAATTATATATACATTTTAATATGTTCTGAAGATATTACCTTTGCTAATTTAAAATTCTTATGTTCATATTTTTTGAAATCTTACTCTGTATATCTGGTCATCTTCTTTTCTAGAAAATTCAGTCTGTAATACTGCCCCACATGTTCAAATGAGCACCTTTTGGTGTGATTGAGTTTACCAATGAAACTCAGGCAACAAAAACATTATTTTAGACCCTGAAGCATTAATTACTAACAAGCTACTACATAGTCTCCCTGAGTTTAGACAGTCTGGTTTCTACCTTATCAGAAAGGGCCGTTGATATCACAGTATTGTTGAGGCTTACTGATGGACTGGGGGCTGGATCATTAAAGTGTAAATGACAGAGAGGATTCCATCAGTACATCTTCTTCATTGATACTGTGACTGTGGCATTGTCCAGAGTCCAGGGCTATTAGAGTTATGTTACAAAGGCTAAGCTGTGCTTCTAAAGCACCGAGCACCAGCCTCAGGAGTTAGTTTCAGAATTTGCAAAGGTATTAGGGTTGATATCATAGTTTTCTAGGTATAGACGTGGCAAGAAAAGTTTCAGCATACACAAAAAAATCTTTAATTTATTTTAATACTCGTAAAATGGAAGGTGATAATTTCACCCTGGTTAATGCACTGTTAGTCTTTGATAGAAAGATACAGTGAAATGGTAGTATAGTTGTTTCACTGATGAGCATTGTTGCAATTAACTAAAACTTACAGTTTACATTAGAGTTTTGAGAGATGGCTCAGAGGTTAAGAACACTGGTTGTTCTTGCAGAAGACCCGGGTTTGAATCCCAGCACCCACATGGCAGCTAACAACCATCAATAACTTCAGTCCCAGGGAATCCGACAGCTTCTTCTGACCTCCGCAGGCATTGCACGACATGGGTGCACTTACCCACATGCAGGCAATACACACATACACATAAAACAAGAAAATAAATAAAATTTACATTGGAGTTTTGTAGTAGATTTTATAGAATTTGACAAATGAATAATGTTATGTATTCACTATGACATTTTCATTCAACATATGTTGTGTAGAATGTTTTCATTGCCTTTACATAGTTTTAATAGGATGAAACAATAGGAATCTAGTAATTACATCAGTCAGTCAGTGTTTGTTTACAGGTTTAATTCAAACTAACTGAATTAAGTCAGAGAATTAGGAAAGATAAGTCAGTAGAAGTGTCCTTCAGCAAGAGTCACTGGTCATTGTCACAACCTCATTTTCTAACAGGAAACCAAAACTAAATTGCAACAACAACAAATATTATTAAAGGGCATTGCATTATTGATATGAACTTAAACTAACTCACTGATATCAGCAGTATGAGCAAATGAAAAATGAATTGGTGCTACATAGGGCTTTATAAATCTAGTCTGGTAGTTGTGGGCACCTGTAAAAAAAACCATTATATGCTTCCTTATTCCAAGAGGGGAAAAACTTGATTACAGTTACAAACAGGTCAAAGAAAAGCCAAAATCTAATGGTGTAAGAAGCTCAATGTCCTACACCTTAGATTTAAAATCTTCTGGGCTCCAAATGACTGGGGTAGCCTCAGCACTCCAATTTCCCCATCTATAAAACACACAGTATGCCTAATACGTTAAGGTCAGCTCCACACCACACCTGTCATTGTCTTGGTGGTCATCCCACCATCCTTGCATCTCCAGTTTCATCCTGAGGTCTCCACTGCAACTGAGGCTGCTCCTTCACCAATGGCCTTTCCTGGCCTCTTACAGTTCCGAGCCTCAGATTCTTTCCATAACCCCTTCATGCCTTCAAAACCAGTACCATGTGGGGGACTCTTACGTATTGCCAAGTTTGGCTCCCAACATGAGATAGAACCATAACGCTTCCTTCCCCTTGACTATGGCTTTTGTTTGCTGATGCTGATGAAATTCTTCCTAGAAAAATTTGCGTCAATGATGCTTGTTTCTTACTAATCACAAATGATTATTTTTATCCAGCATTGATTGTCGCAGTAAAACAATGATTTCACTTCAGTGATACTGGGGTCATGTTAATCACA